GAGTCGAGAAAAAGAAAGAGACGTTGTATATATATATATATATATATATATATATATATATATATATATATATATATTTATAGAACAGTTCTTTCTGGTCCTCGAATTTGATTGGCTGAGAGGAGTGCGATATTCAAGTGAAATCGGAACTCCAACCTCGTGCCTATTATCTCACATGTTATATTGCTCATATATATCTCACAATTTTGACTTTTTTCTTCTCGGAATTGCGAGTTTATATCTCACAATTTTGATTTTATAATATATTGCAGATCTGAATTTACATCTTGCAATTCTGAAAAAAGTCAGAATTGTGAGACAAAAAGTCATAATTACTTTTTTATTCCGTGGCAGTTACATTTAAGCTTCTATACTTTTAAGAACTGTTCACTGAAAGGTTCTTGAGAAACCAAAAATGGTTCTTCTATTGCATCACTACGAAACCCCCCCTTTTGGAACCCATTATTTTTAAAAGTATAGTCTAAAATATTATAAACCTATTTCATTTATGTGAAAAACAAATGTCATGACATTCTCGTTCATCTGTAGTTCCTGTAATCCTTGACCCCAACACCGCTCACCCATGCCTGCATCTCTCTGACAATCTGAGCGATGTGTGGTTTGGTCAGTGGAGTCGACAGGCCTTGGCTTACACAAACAAATGTGAGGGCTATTCAAGCGTCCTGGGCTCTGAGGGCTTCAGCTCTGGGACTCACTACTGGGACGTCGAGGTCGGGGACAACACCACCTGGGTCTTAGGAGTGATTTCAGAGTCTGCCATCCAGACTCGAGACAATCTGTCCAGTTCTGGTCTGTGGCGCCTTGGCTTTCACAATGGCAGATATGGACAAGGCCTTTCAGGAGATATTCTCATGCCGCTTGCAGTGAAACAGAAGGTCCAACGCATCAGAGTCCAGCTGGACTGGGACGGAGGGCAAGTGTCATTCTTCAATCCTCTCACTGACACTCACCTCCACACCTTCAAGCACACCTTTAGCGAGAGAGTGTTTCCGTACTTCTGTAATGTGTGTCCGTCTCAAGCTCTGCGGATCTTGCCGGTGGAAATGGCTCCAGCAGGACTGGAGGTGCAGAGATTATCTGCATTAACCAGCAAAATAGAGAGCAAGTAGAGTTGCAGAAGTAAAAATCCTGTTTATTTTCTACACAGAGAGAAAAAAAAAGAAATTCCTGTGGAGACAAGGAATGGAAAAACTTCTGACCAGAACCAAAATATAAAAATATTGGAAAATAACTCATTGAATATTTTCAATGAGTCTTCTAATTTAATCTTTTGCAAAGTTTATATATATATATATATATATATATATACACATATACACACACATGTTATCATAAGGCAGCACTGAAGAAATTGTTAAATTTTGAAATGTAAGATTTTCACATCCAGTGCAGTTTGATGTTGTATTGTTTTTTTTGGCTTTTAAATATTATTATTTGAAATATTTATGCTTAATCTTGAAAGTACTTTTGGGTAGCGTGACAAACAATCCTACTGTGAATTGCAACACATGATCTATGCCTGTAATTATGAAGAACCTTCCCACCAAAAACACTCAACACATTGCATACATAGCTCTGTGTCAAAGAGCACACTGTTTTAGTTATCTCTTTTATTTTATTCTGTATTTATAAATATTACTTGAATGTTATGGAAAAAACAAACAAATAAAACATTTAATGGGTTGATTTGTTCAGACTTTTTTTTTTTTGGATGTTCAGTACTTTCTTCTGAGGTTATGAAGCCTTGAAAAAAAAATTGATCTATCTATTTTGTCACCAGGCTGTTGGTTAATGGAACAAAAGCATTCTATTGCTTTTATCTATTTTTAGATGAAATATTTAAACCTCTTAAAGGTTTGCATTTGTGGTTTGAGTATTGTATTTTATACATCAGGATTTTGTCTCGTATGATAAAGGAGAATATGGAGATCATACTAAAGGAAAAAAAACGTCAGTTGAGCAATTTGGTGCTTTAGAAATTATGTTTTATTGGATTAATAGTGATGTTACAAATGACGCATGAATTATTACAATAAAAAAAGATGGCAGATAGATATAGTCTGAGTTATGAAGGAAAATGCACAAATGTACAATCGCCCCATCAGCTGCTCTAGCAGTTAAGCCATTTGCATGCACTGGATTCATCTCTTTAAAATGCCCTGGAGTTTTTTTTGTTTTGTTTGTTTAACTGTTCTTAAATAACAATCGAACTGTATAAATTCTTCCTCATGGTTTCCGCAAAAAATATTCAAGTTGCGTGGTAGTCAAGGTCACTGAGTATTCACTGCTCTTCTCCAAAAACCACACTGTCTTTGGAGTTCAGCTTCAACAGTGGCAACAATAATGACAGTAATTGGAGCATGACTCCTGACATTGGTATCTCAGCACCTGTGATGTCCTCTAATTGATTCCCTTCTATGAGATGGACAAAAATGTTGTGTAAATGCCAGAGAGGCATTCCTCTGAAATGCTGCTGGTTTTTGTAAAACTGAGTGTGAGGAAATAAAAAAAAAATAGCTTCAAATGTTTTAGCATTATGCAAAACAGGACCTACAGAACAGGTATTGCTGGAATAATAACAAAAACTCTATAGAGAAACAATTTAAAAGTCATTCCCAAATGACCACATTTATTTTAAAAGATTCAAATCATTTGATTACACTATGCACTCGATTACAGGCATATCAACTAATTCCTTTAACTTTAAATTAAAACTGAAGACTTTCTTAAAAGTCTTAATTTGCACTTAGTGTTTTTGTATTGTTTTCCAGTATAAGTGTCTGAACATCCTTAAATAATGATACGTTTAAAACAATCAACAAACGTATTTGATAAATTGCACAAAATGAATTAAATTGCTTTATGTCTGTCAATGAAGTATGAAAACGTTTCGCTTTGAATTAAGTTGATTTTTCATGTGTGTGTGTGTGTGTGTGTGTGTGTGTGTGTGTGGCACTAGGCTATAGTTCTGGTAGTGTTAATGTTTTCGTCAGTTATGCAAAATCCCAGCTGTTATCAACCATCAAAAATTGTGTATATACACAAATCTAGTAGCCTACTTGAAAGTGAAACCAATGTTTTGTGTATTTCATAATGAGTTTATTTCTAATACAGAAACAAAACATTTTTTTCCATTATAGAAAACCCTAGCCCTTTAATCAGTAAATTTAAAATTCTGTTTTTTTTCTTTTTGTTATTGTTGCTGTTCATTATATTAATTTTCCTGTTGTATTTTATTTCTTTCATGCGCGTGTTCTATACCTTCTAATGCAAATATGTAATGATGTTGCCATGTTGTTTGTACATAACTAATTATTTAATTTAAAAAAAGAATGTAGGTCTCTGGCTCCCTCTAGCGATCACAACTGACAACTTGTTATTGCTAGAAACCGTGTGAGCCATATGTGAACGTCCAAAAACCGAACCGCGAGCAGGTCGGGAGCGGCTGCGAGTACCGTGAATTCAGGTAAAGTGGTCCGTTTAAACTTGACTGTACTGTGCTCAATCAGTTTACACTTTCAGAGCATAACAATGGTCTTTATTAAAGAGACACTATTTCTGTAAATGATCAAATAGTTTTGGTTGATGCAATATGACCCTGGTGGATGTGACATTAAAGAGGACTGCGTCATGTTCAAATGTAAAAAAAAAAACTTTTTTTTTAATGGTTGCTCATTAAATGTAAACAAATATCCTGACAGTTCCTGTTTTATTCGATACTACAGTTAACGGAATAAAATGCAAACAATAAAACATGTTGACACGTAGACTATAATCTACTTTTTTAGAAAACCGAAATGAGTCGCAGCCAGGAAATTCAAGTCAGATGTAAGAAAGGAAAGAGAAAAGAAGGCAAGGCATGGAGTTCAATCTGTGGACTGACGAAAGGATAAGAGGAGCAAAATGTTGATGCAAAATATAAGCTTTAAAATATGGAGTCAATTAAAGTTCATTTAAAGCGTTTAGAGAAAATAAGAGAAACAGTAACCATATGTAAAAACGTTTTCTGTTACATTTTTGTTAGCTTATTTGTTGTTGCTTGTCACATTTTTAATGTTGTAGAGTTTGTTTTCATCAATATTCTGACTTCGTGTCATTTAATGTCAACACAACATGTTCTCAGTTTTTTTGAATTTTACACGTGAATTGAGTGAACTGATGAAATGTATTCATAGCTTAGGCTATACTGTGTTTTTTGGGGTTTGTTAAATATGTCATTGAATACGTGTTAATAAATCATGTGTTTTTATTTAAGACATGATAAAAAAAAATTATAAATAAACGTATAAAAAACGTGTAAATAATACGTTTTACAAAAAGTGTCCCACTTTACCTGAATTCACCCTATCACATTTGATACATCAGGTGGTAGAATAGACTGTGTATAAAATGCATATACTGTAAATATCAGTAGTCACTCTATATGTCCCAATTATGTCTTAGTGTTTGGTTTCAAAGCATATAATGCAATCAGGGATTGAAAGTAACTCTTTCACTCACCAGCCAATTTGGCTACTAAATTAAGTTACCGGCCATTCATAACTTCTACTAACCAAAAAGAACAAAAAAAAAACATAAATAAACCAACAGCTTGAGGCTGTCTACACTGGGCGTGACAAGCGACCGTTGCAAATCATTTTGTGTCAGTACTTAGGGTTGTGCGATATTGACAAAAAATATCTAAATATTTTCTGGAATTTTATCGTTAAAGATAATTAGACAAGTGTGTTATTGTGCTGATATAAGGACTACCGTGGACAGCTGACTCCTAAAGTTTTTGATATATATTTAATATTCTGTGTGGTCAGTTCACAGCAGTGATATAAATTAATCTTTTCCAATAAGTTTAAAATTATTATTATTTAATTTTTTTTAACGGGCATTTTTACCTATATAAAAGCCATTTTTTCTAAAAGTGTGCATAATCTTTTAAGTCAAATTCTTACATATAACCAGTCAATTATTATAATACATTTAGGCTGTTACTAAACAAATTAAATCAATATCAACAAAATTAATCTTTGCAGAAGTTGCATATGAAGTGGCATTTAGATGTATTTACACATGTTAATGCAGCTCAGAGGGACATGGAATGCTTTAACCTGCAGTTACACATGCATAAATGTTTTGATATTTTAAACATGAAATGTTGTATACTGACACTTGCAATGATTTTAAAAATGAAAAGATACTTGAAATGTAAAACCGCCAGTAGGTGACAGCAAGTCACTCTTAAGTGAGTCATTGCGATTGAACCGAATCATTTAAACGGTTGATTCATTCAGGAACGAAACACGGTCATGTTGCTCAGAGACGCAAACCAGTGCTGTGGCTGTGTCTGTCACAAATCAAGCCTCTGTGGCTCCCTCCGATCCCTACCAGAGGGAACCGTCACCGGAGTACTAACTGTTCCTTAGGATTTAATTTCCCATCACCCCATGCCTGATATTGATTACATGCACAGGTGCTGATCATCACCATGACTATTTAGGCAGTGCCTACCTTACCCTTGTTGCGAAGTCTTGTTTTTGCTACTGCTGACATTACTGAGCGTTCATACCTTGTTTGATTACCTGTTGCCTACCTGGATTGTTTAGACCTGTCTGATTGTTCGCTGCTCGCCTCTTTGACCTTGCTCTGTTTTTGGATTTACTCTCTCCTCTGTCTGCCGCCGGCCTTGACCCTTTGCATGGACTCTGGTTATGATTCTGCCTTGCCTACGTTACCCCTGTATACTGTTGACTGAACTTTGCCTGTCTGATTGTTAATAAAGCTGCACACGGATCCCAACGTCACTGAATCGTCATTACAGAAGACTTCACCACAAGTCGATCCAGCGGCTTTCTATAATTTCACCACGGAGGTAACCGCTCATGCGTCAGTACTGGCTTCTCAGCAACAACAGCTTAACTGACTTACCTCACTCACAGAGGAGCTGGTAACGACTCTGCGAGCTCTGCGGATACCACCACCCGAGGAGAGCTCTCCGCCGTTTAACCCACCTCCACACGCTCCGGCAACGGCTGCCGTCACCACCAGCCCTCGCTTGGCATTTCCCGAAAAGTTTGATGGATCACCCACGAAGTGTAAGGGGTTTCTGCTCCAATGCTCGATGTTCGTTAATCAACAGCCCATGTTATACCCCACGGACAGTAGCCGCATTGCCTTTGTTTGTTCGCTCCTAACTGGTAGGGCGTTGGATTGGGCCACGGCGGTGTGGAGTGAGGACCGCATCGTTTTCCCCTCATTTACCAGTTTCATTCAACGCTTCAAGGAGGTGTTTGAACACCCCGAGGGTGGCAAAGAGGTAGGCGAGCAGTTATTATCCCTCCGTCAAGGAAAAAGTTCAGCAGCTGACTACGCACTATCCTTCCGCACGCTCGCTGCTCAGACAGGGTGGTTGGATGATCCCCTCAAGCTCCTCTTCCGCAAGGGACTCAATGCCGACCTACAATCTGAACTGGCCTGCCGGGATGAGGGTAGCTCTCTGGGACAATTAATTGAGCTGGCGATTCGCATTGACAACCTCATCCGCTCTCGACGACCTCCACCCCCTACCACTAGTCCCAGCAGCCTTGGAACAACTGCGGACGGCCAAGTATTTCACCAAGCTGGACCTTCGCAGTGCTTACAATCTCATCCGTATCCGGGAGGGGGATGAGTGGAAGACGGCCTTCTCCACTACATCTGGGCACTACGAGTATATTGTTATGCCGTTCGGGCTGTCCAACAGTCCTTCTATATTTCAGTCATTTATCAATGATGTGTTCCGAGACATGCTAAATCGTTGGGT